AAAAATACACGTTAGTTTGGAAATGTATTAAATTTAATAGTTATTAACAAAAATTATTTTTTTAATTAAACAATTAACACAAAATTAACAATTAAAAATAAACACTTGACAATAATTATTTAGTAAATTTTCAACATGTCCTTCTCCTTCTTAAATACAAGCAAAGCCCTAGGCACACCACTGATTCTTATATGCATTTTTTGTACAATAACTCCTGTCCTACTGTTAGTTTTGTTGATACGTTAAGTCCAGGACGGACGAATTGCTCTAAAAATTCATTTAAAAAATTGTAAATAGCTCGTTAACTAAGAAAGATACAAAGTTCATTTCGCCATAAAAAAAAATTAAAAATTCATAGTTCTTTTTGATTTTAAGATCGATAAAGGAAGTTTCTTTATGTAAAAAAAATACAGGGGTTAAAAAGTACCCAAACCATCAACTTTTTTTAAGGGGGTCGCTTTAATTTTTTTTCTTCTTAGAATATTGGGCCTTCAAAACTACAGCACTGGCAAAAAATTGAAAGAAAAAATCGCAACAGCAAACTTTTTACAAAAAAAAAAAACGTTCTTTTGAATGTTAGTTTAACGCCCTGTAACTTTCTAATGAACCAGTTTTTGATATAAGTAAATATAGCCGAATACACTTATTTTTTGGTAATCTGTCTGAGGAAGAATTTATGACATACCTTTTTATAATTGACTTAAAAAACAGTACATGTCCACAATATTTTTTTTTTAATATTTCATATACAAACCCTTTTAAATAGTTAAAACATAATCTCCTATACTCATCTTAAATAGCTATACATTTGACATGTACATGTCAAGTTTATATGTCAAATAAAAAAATAGTTATTTAGTTTTTTTTACTTTACTTAGAATGCCATTTTTGGACTAGTACTGTTCTTTGACTCACCGATTCATTTGTATTCTGCCAGGTTCAAATTAAAAGGTCTTAGAATCGTACGATATGTGGCAACAAGTTAGTTTGCAGTTTGGGTAGATGTTTTACCAAAATATAGGTTACACAGTTAAACTCAAAAGGCAACATATATCAGAAGATGATATAAATGTTATTTTAACTGTTTTTACCCGGATATGTAGTCAAGGAAAGCCTCGAAAAGATACTTTCCAGGAAACAGTGTCGCTAACAAATACTCCTCAGGCTATAATGTATAAACTCATAAAACTGGGTCTGGCAAGAAGACGAAAACAAAAATTCAGGCAATTCCATACGAATCAATTCACATCAGTTAGCTCCAATATGTCAAACAATCTAATTTATGTACACACTAAAAATCATGCCAAATCTTGGAGGTATTCTAGCAGAATTAAAAAAGAAACATGTCCTTGAGATATTTTCTGTTAGAACACTTGGAATATTAAAAAAAAAACATGGTTTTAGATATAAAACAGTAAATAAAAGACCAACCATAATGGAATCTACTCGTTTAGTAAAGTGGAGAAACGTATATGTAAAAAGAAAATTTAAGTGTATCGCAATGAAGGAAGGCACATCTATTACTTGGATGAAACATGGTTTGATAGCCACGATACTGTTCGTAAAGCCTGGATAAATTGTAGTTGGAAATGTAAAACGGTAGTTCCCCATTCACGAGGTAAACGCATTTGCATACTACATTGCGGTGTAGAAGAGGGCTGGGTAAATGATGCATTATTGTGAAGCTCAAAACACATTAAGGATAGCTCTTTAGATTATCACCAAGATATCGAAAGAAATCTTTTCGAGCCTTGGTTCGAAGAAAACTGTTGCCAACACTATATCCAAACATTGTCATTGTGCTATCGCCCCTTTATCTGGCGGGGTGCTTATTAGTAATGAAATTACCCCTTTGCTTAAATAATTAAGACAAATAATAGCTCAAGTAGTTTTATGAACTACCGGAGAGTGGGTTATATGTTATAAACTACACTTATGTTACACATATAATTTAATTTCGGTCCAGGATCAGTGCAGGTTAGTTTTCAGTTTGTAATGTGAGCAATAATAACAAAAAAAAGGGGCTAAACCTATCAAGTTGCCCTGGGATATCCAATTAGTACTAATTGATTACAGTGAGGTGAATGTAAGTATATAAAATTAAAGATAGATACTATTACTGAGGGTAATATATCTAAATATATTCTTTTAATATTACTTAGTGTAATATATCTATATTTGTTTACTATTATTGTCCTTTCTTTTAGGTATTTAGTCCCTACACAAGATAACGATATTGTCCAGGCCGGGGATAATAGACAGGCAGTAAGACTGAAGTCCAGAGCAAAAAGCAGGTAAGCGGTAAGCGTTAATCTTTAAAGGATCTAATTTAGCTCATGCAAGCAATTTATAGGTCTCTAAACCCAATACTAAAAGGCCGAATAGAAGGTAGGGCCGTGCTAGGAACTACTTTATTCACAAGAAGTGCTGTCAAGACTAGATAATGTAGTTTCCTAGTGATAGTTGTAATTGTCTCTTAATATATGGCTTTTATTCCGAATAAAATTCGATAAATCTGAACAGGCACCACATGGACCCAACAAATTCATGCCATCAAAGAAAGAGCCAAAAAGGAATGAAGTTCCTTGATTTAATGGCCGACCAATATCGCCAACTATTGAAATTTTAGGGGAAAATTGCATCTGTTCAAATAATAAATCATAACCTTGCCATAGAACATTTAAGAAATGAAATAGGTCCTAGTTACACTAGAAGAAGAAAAGTCAAGGTTAACAGATGATTGTCAGAATGAAATTTTTACATTTTCTGTAGGTTAACCAAACTTTAAACTATTAAATTATCAACTTCTAAATCTGTTTTATTTTCAAAAGGGTAAGTTTCATTCAACTTTATATAACTTGTGAAAATGAATATCATTTAATCGATTTATATATTTATTTTCTCCTATTTAAATTAAAACCGTAACAATTGTCTTAGATAATGCATCATATCACTCAAGGAAAACTTATAAGATTGCAATCAAATGTTCTACCAAAGCAGACATTAAAAAATTTTTAATTGAAAAAGATTTATATTTTGAAGAGCACTATACGAAGGCTCAACTTATAGAAGTTCTAAATACAAAAAAAATTGACAACGAACATATCTTCGATATACTGACCAAGAAAAATGGCCATAATGTGTTAAGATTACCCCCTTACTACTGTGTTTTGAACCCGTTTGAACTATTATGGGCGAAACTTAAAAAACAAGTAAAAATAAATAATACTTCGACAAAAAATTCCAACAACGTTGTAAAACTTATAATGAAAGAGTTTTCACATATTACCTCTGAGAACTGCAGAAATGCTATAAACCATGTAATAAAGGTTGAAAACGAATATATGCGACACGTACCAGTTTTAAAAAGACTTGTTATTAATGTAAGCGACGGTAAATCTGATGAAGAAGGTGATGAGGATGATGACTACCACTACATAACATAACATAATTTTTCTATTAATTTTTAAGAATTCATAAACAAAACATTTAATCAGTAAACCTTCTTTTGATTTTAAGTTATATTTGCTTGTTAAGTACAACTCTGTACAGGTATCAGTATAAGCAAGCAAAAACAAATAATGATTTTAACTGACAAAAAATTTTACACTATATCTTAACCGGTATAATACCTGAGATGTTAAGTGAATCGTTTGGAAGTTATAGATAATTTCAATTCATTAACTTTAAAAAGCGTAGAGGTTATTCAATTGCTCGAATGTGGACTTTTTTATAAACGAAAATAAAATCCGCAAAATCAGTAACACACAAATTTATTTTTTATTAAAAACTACTTGTAAAATGGATAATGTTAACACGGACAACCGGTTAGGACTAAAAAGCCATCATCAGGCCTAGAATAGAAGGGAAAAAATATGGTTTTTATCAAAATTACAATTACCTATTCTTTTCTCTTTCTTCCTAGATGTCAAAGTTCCTTGATTGTCCATTTTGCTTTGTAATTACCTCATTGATTATTATGTTACCTTCTTATTCAAGTACAATAATAAATCTTCATCCCTATCCAATTAATCCAATTACTTTATATATAAGGTTCGTTCCAACATAAAGCAAATCAGTTTGCGTACTGTCGGGATTCTGCGCAGTCTAGAATTCGTGTTCCAACAAACCTTAGACTCAAAACTATACAAAAACATAGCGTTCCAACATAACCAAAACTAATCACGAACCGATTTGTCAAATCAGATCCTGGGTCTAAATAGGAACGAATTGTCAAGACATGCGCAAAGCCGCAATAAACTGAACAATTCGTGATTGTAATTATATTATTTGTATCTATTGTCTCTGACAGTTCTGATTTTTATTTGTTAATCGAGTCTTTATAGTTTTTGTTTATTATCATTTATTTTATTTTGTGATTTATTATTGTAATAGTACGTCTGTTGAATTTAAAGAATGTGTTCTAACATAATCGAGTTCCGAGTTAAGTCCCAATTCCCGACCAATACCTGACAGGTTGTCAATTACTAGTCGTCGACTAATTGTCAACAATAAGTTTTGGACTGGTATATGTATTGTTCCAAGATCGTTGTTGGAACAAACCTATAATTTAGGTTATTTTTGTTTACCATTAGAAACACTCTATTGTCATTAATGTCAAATTTATTCACTTTATTCGTCTCCACTTTGTTGACCACACAGTCAGCTACTTTTTACTTCTTTTTTAATTTTTACTTGTTCCTTTTACTGCAGGCTATTGTATTTGTATTAACCAAACCAACCCCATTTTTACCTAGCGATCCTTTAGATACAATCTCTCAATCTTCTTCAATTGAGGTTTTAGTATCACTTTATATAAAGAAAAAGCTTTTGATTGTAAAACAATATTGTATTAAGTTTCAATAATTTTAATCTTATCATTTTCGAATCATATGCGCAGGCGCCGTTTTCATATTCACCATCAGACGTAATTAAGTCAAATCACGCATGGTGTTGAGTACCTACTTCTATAATTGTTTACTTGAGCGTTACGTTCAGGTTCAGTTTTTTCTAGTGATCACATTGCTGGTTATCATCACCGATGTGTGGGCTATGGCAGCCTTCATCATACCATGGATCATGTTGGCTCTGATCCTGGAAATATCTCCATTTCTACTAATGGGGATTCCAAATTGCTTCTTAAGAAGGCCCTCAGCTGATGAAGTCTTCCTTACTGATTCATCTAATGTCCTATCTTGTCTAACTTATGGTATATTTGCCTTAGATCTCTTCAACCTTCTAGCTACATGCCAACTTTCTATAGCCTTTTCTCCAGGATCACTTGCTGATTTACGAATCTGCTTTGCTAAGATCAGCAGAACTTTGAAGAACAAATACATTAGAGCCTTCAGGTTCGTCTTTTACCATTACGTCCCGGATTGGTCACTAATACTTAGACCCTTTGTCGTAGAGACTACCCATTAATACACTAAGTTTCTCCTATACACCTTGTTTCAATTTATCCTTAAAAATATCTAGTTATATTCTTCCCAGTACCTACAACCATTTAACAACTTAACTTATAAGTTTTATTCTACATGTGGATGATCATCTGCCTATATGATTATGAATTTTCGTCTAAGGTATGTTACTTACATATTTTTTCAATGTAGGACAGATGATGGCTTTTGAGCCGAAACCGGTTGCCTGTGTTAACATTACCCAGTTAGCAAGTAGTTTTTAATAAAAAATAAATTTGTGTGGTACTGATTTTGAGAATTTTATTTTCGTTCATTAATTTTATTTTATTGTTCTAACTAAAATGTATTTGTAAACTTTAATTGCATTTTTTTCGATAAATCAACAGAAAGTATAATTTGAAATAAAACAATGTGATTTAAAATAAACGAATTATAAAAATAACGAACTAATGACATATTTCAAATTTAACAAAAATCAAACAAAAGCTGCAAAATCAATATACTCACCAAATGTGTTGGATATATGAATTTGTCATATAGATATATTTAGGGCAGTGCATAAATTATCAGGCGTTTTATAAAAAACTTTATTTATATAAAAGCAAAATTTTATTTATATTAAAAAAAAACATTCTCTAATAGTATCATTATTCCGGAGCATAGTCACCATCAACTTCAATAACTGCTTGGAAGACGGTCGTTTCCACGGGCAAAAAAGTCACGGTTCTCGATTGACATGGTAGTCCGTTGGCGCTTCTGTGGGAGAATATGGCGGATGCGGAAGCAGTTCCCAACCCTTATTGACGATGCTTTCGACAACACGGCGCTCAACATGTGGACACGCATTGTCGTGAAGGAAGACGATATGTTTTTTTTGCGCGGTCTTTTCGTCTCGATTGCAGGGTGAAGGCGGTCAAGTTGCGCCATATAGACATCAATGTTAACGTTGAATTGCCGCTTGACGTTTTTGTCTGGAATCCGCCATTCGTGACGCTCATCGTCGTCATTGCACCAATAACAAATAAAATTTGAAATTATTTCCCAATGGATAGTTCCGCTTCTGTCCCACCAAACACACCACATTGCCTTTTTACAGTGTACGTTTTTTACGGTACTCATTTTGGTGCAACACTTGGCGAAACGCAGACCTTCTTTATTTTGACAAGATTCTTCAAAAACGAGCTTGTTCGTTACGTTGCAGCAAATCAATAAAAACTCGAAGACGTTCGGCTTTATTGTTTTCGGACAGTTCGTGAGGGACCCAACCAGCCGCTTTCCATACCTTTACCAGCTTTTTCAGATGACGAACGATGGTTGAACGGTCCACATTAAAGTCATCTGCCAGCATTCGAGTTGTCAAACTTTCGTCCCTTTCTGCGGCTTCCAAAAGTGCCTGGTTATCAAAATCTGATGGTCAACCTCTTTCTGGCTTATCTTTCAAGCTAGTGTCGCCAGATTTAAAACGGGAAAACCATTCCCTGCATACACTTTCACTTATTGTTCCTTCACCAAAAAGTTCGTTGAGATCACGAAATGAATGCGCTGCTTTTCATCCTTTTTCGAAGTGGTAAAGCATAATATGACGAATATGAGTATAATTACCGACACGCATTTTTATAACCATGAAATTCAATAATATTTTGACAGAGCAAAAGTAAACAATAAAGCAATTGTTTCTGAAAAACGGCCATCTACAAAAACGCCTGATAATTATGCACTAGCCCAATATTAATGTTTATTGTTAGCCATGGAAATTAACAAAGTTGGCACAAAACTTAAGAAATACACATAAATAATGGATAAGTAATACTATTGGTAATAAATTAATAATGATTGGAAGAAACAGAATAATTAGCGAGATTGAAAATTTTACTCCTGAAAATACAAACAAATCTAACCCATTCATTTGGAGGAATCAATTTAGTGATTTTTGTAAATAAGGAAATTTAATTTGAACAGTACATTTAAAATTTTTAGTTTTTACTTATTCTACACCTGTTTTGTATCTGGAGTTTTAATTATTTTAAACCAAATTATACAATCGCCTGTCTATAGTGAAATACATAATGTAATTATAAATGTAAATATAAATAAAAGTAAATAAACCTGAAACCATTTAATTAAGTTCAAATCGTTTCTATTTTCATTTAGACTTCTAGAACCTAACTACCCACAAACTATTCGAGAAAACAATGAAAATATACAGGTTGCTTCAGAATGTAATGTGCATACGTTAACTGCAGGTGTAGGACACTTGGATGTTTCGAAATCATCCGGTATTAATAGATTAATATATTAACAGATACAGGTTGTTTTATGAATTTGTTTTTACCCAAAACTCAACAACCACTTGGTGTAAAAAATTTAAATTTAGCAGATAGACTAATCTTAAAATATAAAAAAAATAATTTTATAAAAATAATAATTGTAATCAGGGGCTGCTTGTGAACAAAGTTTGGGGGTTCACAGTAGCAGAATATAGATCTCGGTACAGATGTAGGTAAAAAACTCAGTGTTTTAGAAAGGTATATTATAAACTTTCTAAACAATGAAAGTTTTTTCATACATCTGTACTGATATCTATATTCTGTCACTGTGAACCCCCAAAATTTGGGTCACAAACCACCACTGATTTGAATCCAGGTCCGGCTTAACAAAATTTTGACATTTATTTCCTCTTCAAAAACAACACCCTGTATAACCAAATTTGATTAAATATCTCAAATGAACAGAAAAAATCAATTTGTGTAGGTGTCTTTTAAAATTGGCAAATGTCGTTTTAGAGGCACACATTTTTTCATAAAACATTTTTTTAAATTTGTTACCTTTATAAATGATTTCTAGATGATAAAACACGGAAAATATTAGTGAGTTCTTTTCAAATGCCTTAATGGTATACTATTTTAGTCCTTTAAATAATGTTAGAAATAAATTATAGGACCGTAGTTAGCTAAACCACTAATATTTTTAATTTATTTTTAAGTACCCTGTATAATGGGAAATAAGGAAAATAAAGATTAAAAAGGTAATTTGGAATAGCAAACATTAACAGACTTTGAGTTTTTTTTGAGTAAAAGGAAAATTAAATTACAAACAAAATAATTATAAAAAAAAAATTATGAATAATTTTATTTAACAAATAAACTGTTTGAAACAATTGAAACCTAATTAATAAAATAAAGTATTCTAACCTAACAATTGTTCAAAATGAAAACCAAATTGTTCAAAATAAATTATAAAAAATTATTGATTTAGCTAACTACGGTCCTGTAATTTATTTCTAACATTAAATCCAAGATTTAAATAATGTAAAATTGAGATATTTAAAAAGTAGTTATTTAAGAAAGTACTATTTTTCGTGTTTTATCATTAAGAATTAATTTTTAAATTATGAAGGTAAAAAATTTTTAAAAATATACTTTTTATCAAAAAATTATTGCCTCTAAAACGATATGCGCAAATTTTAATAGATAAAATTGATTTTTTTCTGTTGTTTTGAGATATTTAATTAGTAATGCTAAATTTAGTTATACAGGGTGTTGTTTTAGAAGCGCAAAGAAATGGTAAAATTTTGTTAAGCCGGACCTGGATTTTAATTATTATTTTTATGACATTATTTTTGTTATATTAAGATGAATCTACCTGCTAAAGTATAATTTTTTATACCGTTAGGTGGTTCAGTTTTGTCCAAAAACAAATTTAGGCGAAATTCATAAAACACCCTGTACTTAGGTAATGAGAAGTAATAGACCCATTAATAATGGATGATTTCAAATCATTAAAGTGTCTCACACCTACAGTAAACGTATGTACATTACATTCTGAAACACTCTATATATGGTGAGCCACCGGTAAAGCCTCGGTCTGTGGAACACAAACTATTTGATTTTTTTTTTAAATTTGTCTTCAGAGCAAGATGTATATCAGAAAAAACAACAATTTAAATAATATTAATTTCAATTATACAGGGTTCTTCAAGAAAGTGATATATCAAAGTTAGGTTTTTTTTTTAATGAGACGCTGTATATTATTTTTTATTTGAATTGCCCTCGGCTTAATATTATATGCAAGTTTAGATTTTATAATGATATATACGTTTTACAATGAAAAGTATTTTAAGTCCAAGGGCAAGGGTCGTAGGTCTGGCAATAGGATAAAAGAACCTAAGCAATTGAAAATTATAAACGGCTGCACGTTGGGCGCCAAATTTATAATGATATATGTTGTTTTCTTAATTAAATTGGTTTTAAGCTCCAGCACAAGGGTCGTAGGTTTAGCATTTGGATAAAATAACTCAAGCAATTGGAAATTGTAAATGGTATCATCATATTTAGAGCATGTAATTACATTTCACAATATTACAGTTGAAAAAACATGGAAATCAACATTACTAGTTAATTAAAAAAAACAACTTTGATATCACTTTCTTAGAGAACCCTGTATAATTGAAATTAATATTTATTTAAATTAATATAAATATTTAAATTGTTGTCTGTTCTGCTATACAGGGTGTACCAATAAACACTCCCAGGCCAAATATTTTAGTAAGAAATAGAGGTATTTTAATTTTGTAAGAGCCAGTTCATAGAGCACTAAGAGAGCTTCAGTTTCCGATATGAATTGATTTTAAATAGGTCAATATGTAGATGGCACTGCGCTCAATAATTTGTTTTCGATGGGAGGATCTTTCTTGTAAAAAAATGCATTTCAAGCAGATTTTGTTCTATGAACTAATTCAATAAATCTAGCCATTTTTGATATACAGAGTGGGTCACTTAAAACAGTTTCATCCTGTTTTATATACCTTGTTCTGAAAACAAATTTAAATAAAATCAAATAGTTTCTGCTCCACAGACCGAGGTGTTACCTGAGGCCGACTCTGTATAATAGAGAAAATTAAAAATGATTTACAAAGCAGCGAAGAAAAACTTGATAAAAGGTTAAATTTCTTTTTGAAATTACTTCGGAATTGGAATTCTTAAGCTATCTTTTTATTTTCGTTAACTCGCAGACCTTATGGAATGGTTCTCCTATTATTAAAAGAAATTTCTATTCTAAGCTAGTATGGAGAACGTTCGTTTAATAGATTTTATTAGAATTAAAAATTTAATTAAAAGTTAAAAGTCAATACCATTTATATTTATTTATTTAGTATACTTGAATGAATTTTAAACCCTAACACTTTAAATACTAAGAATATACTTAGACATACTAACAATGGAAAGTAGACATGGGCGTCGTTTGGGGGGGGGGGGGGGCAGTTACCCCCCTTGGCTTTTACGACTTTACAACGCGTAATGGCTGTATGTCACAATACTAAATTAAGTACTAAAATTTCGCCCTAAATTAAATTAATAATTTAAGTTATTAATTTAGTACTAAATTTAAAACTAAATTTTTTTTTTTTTGTTTGCAACGATACCAATTTTTAGTACTAAATTAAGTATAGGCGCACGCGCATTGACGTATTATTACGTGAAATTAGCACAGAAATAAAACATTCTGTGTAAATGAGACAAGTGAATTAAAAGATGTTTTTTTATGATTTTGACACTAGTTGACTTGACAACCAAATGCAGCAATGCTACTAAAATCCACGAAAAAATCTACAAAATCAAACAACACAAGCGAAATTTGTCCAAGGCGATAATACAAAGTTGTCGCTAACCAAAAACAAAATGGTGCAGAAAAGACCTTGTGTCAACTTTTTCTGAGAAAAACTTCTGCGCAACTTTTCAACTCGTTTTTAATACTAAATTTAGTAGAAAATAGAACAAGTTCCAATTACTTAATTAATTTTTTGGGTACTAACTTTAATACTAAATTTGCTGTTAGCACTTTGAATTTTTTTAGTACTTAAAAAATACATTAATTTAGTTCTAAATTTAGTACTTATTTGAGTATCGTAACATACAGCCTTAATATATGAATTACTGATATTTCGTTAGGTAGGTACTATGTGCCACAGTTTGACAACGCTGTATACAATAAAATTACGTAATTAACACAATTATGCTTATGCAGAAACATCACATGTCCAAAATTTCAAATTTTGGGAAAATGGAAAAACATTCTATTTTTTTAAGCGAATTTATCTTTGATGTAATAACTTTAAAACATATATAGGTTAGGTGGAACCATATTTAAACACTAAGTTTGATTAATAATTAAAAAATTTAGTGTATATGATCTTTTGAAAAAATGGACATGTGCGGTTACAGAAATAACTAGTTTGCACACTTAATCAGTGGTTATTGACCATTGAAGTATAGAACTATAAAATTCTTGGTATTCCTCTTCTACAAAAGCTGCACATTTTCTTATATGTTCCAACTTGTTTGCTTTTAATGGGACAGCACCCAATGGATAATCAGATTCAATGGGTAATTCTGCAGCAGGTCTTCCTGGCTGTTGAAGTATGAAAGTGTGTCTGAAAGCCCCTTCTATAAACTTTGACGCTTCAACATATCCTCTTTTTTTAGTATCATAAGTATATTGTGAAAAGGTACTTATATTGAAATGGACCTTTTGGTTACAAGGAGTACTTCTGGAGTTGGTTTCTTCTGATAATATGCAGTTTTTTTTGTACAGTTTAGGCCACCAATCTTTAAAATTCATTATTTCTTCTGTTGATACTTCTTTAACTGTAAATTTGTTTGACTACTCGTTACAATCAACTCCGTAATTTGATGAACTGTGTAAAATCTCACATTTTCTGAGCTTTCTTTTTACAACAGGAAAGTCCCGATTGCAGAGTAGAAAAGAATGGCCTTACCTGCAAGGAGGGCCCAATGTTCTGCCAGGGATATCATCTCCCTTGTAGTTTTTATAAGGTTCGGCCTTGACACGAGATTTTTTAATAATATTTCGTGAGTAGCTCTCAGGATTTGCTTTCCTCTTTCCCTGAGAAGTATTTTCGTTTTTATTTGGATCCATCTCATATAACACAACAACTTATGAAATGCCCAGCAAAATAATAAATAAAGAACACTCGTGTAGGCACAGGAATATAAAAACAAACATTCTCCTTCTTAATTTCATGCGCAACCGCATGCGCGTGCGAACCTGCTGTTTAGCAGAAACCGCACATGTCCGGGACTTGTGTTGTTTCTGCAGAGTATATCTTTTATTACTAATCGTTTTCAGCTAAGGTATAATCTGGACATGTGCTGGTTATTCATTTTACGGTGTATCTATCTGTGTAGAATCATTTTTTGGCATAATCCATTTTAAGGCAAAAATGGACAAGTGTCGTTTCTGCATACACTGATTCAATTATTACACAACTGGCACATATTGTCGATTGTCGCCGTGCACGCCTAACAATTAACACAAGGCCAAATATGTTAGGTAGCCTTTAAATTGATTGAATTCTTTAAGGAAATAGAAGAAATAGGTAAACATGACAGGTGTAGAAATCTAAATACTACGAATTACGGACAGCAATCTCATAAAAATAATATTCAGGCTAATACAGCTGTCAAATAGTATAGGTTGAATATATTTATTTTATAACCATATCTTACACGTACCTATACATTTACTTTTTTTTAAAGAAGGTAATGTTAAAATACCTGTATCTGTTATAGTTGGCAACCCTGTCTGAATTAATTTCTTTTGAATTATAAAGATAACTACCTGTATTTGTCGTCTGTCAATGAGAATGTCAATGTAAGTACTTCCGGTAAATTATCCAACGAATGTGCGCACCTAACCTGAGTTGCTATTTTAGTTTTAGAATTGTTTGTTCAAATAGTTATTCGGTAATAAAAACCTTTCACCAAACTATTTTCACATTATTTTCTCTAACAGATAAAAACAACACAAAAAGCAATAGCAGTTGCTGTGTTGTAAATTGTAGAAATACTAGCAGAAAAAACTGTAAATTATAAAAATTTTCAGTACCAAAATGGAAATTATATCAAAGAAATAAATGAATAGCTGTACAATAGAAAGAGAAAACCTTTATTTTTGCAATAATAACACTAATACTGGAAATAGTAGACAACAGAAAATTGAAAGGTTTTATCATCATCATCTGAATTAGAGCGTGGTTCAAAGCCCACTTGTACTGAAGTTCTAGGCTTATTGTACCCCTCACAGTTTCTATCCCATCAGATTGATTTTCTTGATGAATTCAAGAATATGTCTGATGGGCGCTTTCGCAATTTCTTCAGGTTCCGGATATTGTATCCCGAAGTACCATTCCCGTTCCCATTTAAGGTTCCGGCAGTGGCATAGTATGTGAATAGGAGTTTCGTCCTCCTCTTCACATATTCTGCATAGGAAGTCATCAGATATCCCTAAGAGATTTAGGTGTCTTCTAAGGCCGCAGTGTCCCGTAAGGAGTCCTATTACGGCCTTTAGTTCGCTTCTGCTAAGGTTTAGCAGTTGATGTTGTCTGCTCGTGGATGGCCCCTCTATGAATCTTTTGGACTGTCTAAGTCCAGGAAGTTCCATCCAGAGCCTATGGTGTTCTCTTTTTATTTGTTCCTTTAACACCCATTTAACATGTTGGTATGAGATACCACATGTGGGTTCTGGTCCAATAAGAGTTTTTTCCGCTCCCTTCCTTGCTAGGAGGTCTGCTTTCTCGTTTCCAAACACTCCATCATGTCCTGGCACCCATTCAAGGGTAACCTTGTTATGTTCTGCCAGAGCCTGGAGGGATTGTTGGCAATCAAATATTGATTTAGATTGTACTTCTACCCTTTTTAGTGCTTTAAGGGCTGCCTGACTGTCTGTCATGGTAACGATTCTCTTATATCTAAGAGAGTCATTTAGCATGACTTTGGCGCAGGCATTTATTGCTACTACTTCAGCCTGGAAGACTGTTGTCAGTGACCCCAGGTTCAAACTAATTGTCCTCCCTGAGTTCACATGGTAGATCCCAGCTCCTGTGCTGTTTTTCATTTTCGAACCGTCTGTATACCAGATTGATTCGTTTTTTTTTTTCCTTTTTCCCGGCTTTTGGCCCTTTCTGGTATTTGAATATCAAAAGGTTTCTCGAAAGTTCCCATCCAAATCCATTAGTAAACAGCCTGTATGCCGCCGCCATAGCCTTCTTCTCCACCACAAGGTGTAGTGGAGGAAGACCTAGCAGTAGCTCCATTGCTGCTGTGGGCGTAGTTCTAAATGCCCCTGTTATTATTAGGCAGGCTAGTCTTTGTACCTTGTCTAATTTTCTGTTAGCTGTTATGCTTTTAGTCTTGTGCCATCATATGACTGATGAGTAAGTTATGACCGGTACTACAACCATAGTGTAAAGCCAGTGCATCATACTTGGTTTAAGCCCCCAAGCGTTCCCTACCATCCGTCTACAGGCCCATAGTATTCTTACAGCTTTTTCTGTTGTTTTTTCTATATGGCTACATCGAGAGTGATTCCAAGATATTTAACCTCCTTTGCCATTTTTAGATGTTGTCCCCACATATAAAGCTCCTTCATTCCTTGAAGGTTCCTTTTTCTTGTGAATGCAACAACAGAGGTTTTTGTCGGGTTTGTGGACAGTCCCTCTTTTAGGCACCATCTTTCGACGATATTTAGTGCCCGCTGCATCCTTTCGGATACAACAGTCCCAAATTTACTGTTTACTACGATGCTTATGTCGTCTGCAAATGCTTGCGTGTATGTTTTCTCTCTCTAACTCCCATAAGAGGTCATCAACCACCAAGGTCCACATAAGAGGAGATAGCACTCCTCCCTGCGGCATCCCTTGTTAACTGAGACCTCTCTTGTTGTGCTAAGGAGATTACTGGTAATGGTCCTATGATTAAGCATGAACTCTACCCACTTCGTAATGCAGTGGGCTACTCCACGCGTTTGCATAGATCCTAGTATTGAGTTGTATGAAGCCGAGTCAAAGGCTCCTTCTATATCTAGGAAGACTCCTAGTGCTATTTCTTTGCTTTAAATAAACAATAAATTATTATTTTACAATGTTGTTCAACATCCCTTAACTCTTAAATGTTCAACAAGGATTAGATTTCTGCCTTTGATTATTGTATGGGGCTGAAATGCAATCTTGTGATCTATTGATAGGAAACCAATTTTAATCATTAATTTCTATGGGTTCTTTCGAACTAAAAATAAAGAAAATATAAATTACAATCGCAAATTTACCAATTATTTTTATTAATACGTTTTGATACTACGTTATTCTGTTTTTATTTTTACATTATTTAACCTATTCTTTAATGACAACTTATTAGGCTTAGACTTTTTTTTTTTTAGCTGTAGTAATAAAAATATATAATAATAATTAATTTTTTCACTTGTTTTACAAATACATATACTTTTATTAAAATCAAGATATATATTTTTTAATTAGGAATTCCACTAAAAATTGTACTGTCAGTATACGCAAATATCGTCCGTTAGTTCATGAATTAGTTGGCGCTGCTGTCACGCACAGAGCGAATAATGAATAAAAATAGGCTGACTGCGCTTTGCATGATGAGCGTACATCGAAAAATCGCAAAAAACTAAAAAGAAATCATGTTTTCTGTTATCGATTATTTTAGGTAGAGGAAGAAAAAATTAAAAATTTCCGTTTTCCTAGTTTTCATCGACGTGTTTGAGTGAGTTTTTTTTCTTGTTTTTCTATAAATATTTTATTTTTTTTAATATTATGTATGACTCTATCTTGTTGTTCATATTTTTCTTTTATTTTACACCTTCTGTTTGTTTGTTAAAAATATGTGTTTTAAGTTTCTAGTTTTTTTTATTTAAGTAGCTTTTTGTGAAGAAAAATAACTGATAACTAATTACTTTAATAGAAATAATTAATAAATTATTACACATTATTTAAATGGTTTTTTACGTTATTAAATCGTATCGTATCGTATCGTGTGAAATACTATTACATAAATAATTAAAAAAAGTATATAACATGCATAAGAAAATGAACGAGGTAACATTACCATCAGGAAAAAGTATTTACAGCTGAAAAGTTAATGCTTGTAAAACTACTATACATCTTAGGGCATCTATGTACATCAAAGAAGTATTTAACTTATTTTACAAACTTACTTATTATATAGGACGATGTCCGGTCTCCAAATATGATCTGAAGGGACGTGCAACATGTGTACCCCTCCGTACTCTTTTGGCTCCCACCTCAGTTTGTAATCATACCATGACTGAAATAAAAAATGTAATATTAATTTATGCTTTAACTTCCATATTACGATATCAATATATTGGGGTCTATTCTGTAACAATTCCTTTATATTTAAAGGCCTTTAAAAATATTTTCTTCTTTACTTCTGTCATTATTTAAACGGATCTTTAAAATACAGTAGAGGACTATCTTAAAGAAATCTGTTTAAATAATGACAGAAGTAAATTAATGAATACAAAAATGTTTTTAAAGGCCGCCAATATTTTTAAAGGCCGTTAAATATAAAGAAATTGTTACAGAATAGACCCCATTATGTCTTATAATTTTTATATTAAGGTAAATACAGCACTCCTTATAATTTTCGTACAAGGATATCTCAAAAAGAAATTTTCTTAAAAAAATTAAGTTTTGTCAAAATAAAATAGGCAATAATATCTAGAATATGCATATATTTTAAAGTTTTAATTTCTTCTAGTTTCTGAGAAAAAAAAAATAAAAGGGCTTCCTTCCAGTTTCAGAAAAAATAAAAATAAAAGGGCTTTAAATTTTGAAATATCATAATGAAAATAAATGCAGTATTTTTAATGTAATTCCCAAATTTAAGCTCTTAATGTATTTTTTAAAATTTGCCAAAATTTTGCCACAATTTAATTTTTTTCACAAAATTACTTTTTGAGATATCCCTGTCCGAAAATTATAAGGGGTGCTGTATTCATCTTGACATAAAAATTATAAAACCTATAATATTGTCACAAATTCTAATTAATAAATTGTTCCAAATTCCATATCTTTATATATTCACGTTTAATATTTA